TGTTTTAGCCAAATACCGCCAACATCAGCATTACCCGATGCGTACCGCGAGGAGGTTGTTGGTCGGACTTACGCATCATTGTGGCCCTGAAAAGGGCCGATTGTGTAAACCGTTTTTAACATTAGGGATCCCGCGGCTCGTCACTTCCGCAGTATTTTTTGACTCCAAACCCTATGCGCTTAAAGCCTTTAGTATCGTGTATTGCCACCTCGCTGACGAATTACCTCTCTTAAACGTTCTTGCATATTAATGCGTGCTCTAATTGAATCCTGAGGTATCTTGTGCCAAATTTCATTCAGAATTCTCCCAAGCTCTTAGAGGTTAGCAGGAGGTCTCTGTAAGTTACGTAACGCCTACCCATCGTATCCCACACATGTTCTATAGGATTGAGATCTGGGCTACAAGCAGGATGAGGCAATACCTCTACGTTGTTTTCTGCTAAGTAAGTACGAGTTATCCTTGTAGTATGAGGGCGTGCATTATCCTGCATCAAGATAAAATTACGACCCATTTGCCGACGCATTGGAATTACGTGAGGACGTAAAACTTCGTTAATGTAACGTCCCGCTGTTAGTCCAGGGGTTGGGATAATCACTAAATCTGATCGATGGTTCATTGATATTCCACCCCAAACCATAATGGATCCTCCACCAAACGCACGAGTTGGATCAACGTGATTTGGTGCAAAACGTTATCGTCGACGACGCCAAATTCGAATCCTAGCATCATTTCCGTACAGACAAAACCGAGATTCATCTGTAAAAAATACATGTCTCCAATCTCTTGGTGTCCAATATCGATAATTTCGGGCGTAATTCCGACGAGCTCGTCGGTGGACTGCTGCTAAATTAGGCACTCTAGCACGAATTCGTGATCTCAAACCTCTGTCATGAAGGCGTCTCCTTATCGTCTGAGCGCTAATTCGTCTGCCTGGTAAAGCATTATTTCCAATTTGTCGCGCAACCTGCCTTGGATTCATTAACAATGTTGCGATCCTCTCGATTTGTAGTAATCCTATGTCGACCTTGACCAGGTCTCCGGCGATAAGAACCTGTTTCTTCATACCGACTAAGATCGCGTGACACCGTTGAACGATGAATCCCTATTCTTCTGGATATTTCGCTTTGATTCAATCCCGCTTCTAGCAGGGCAACAATTTAAGCAGATTCGATTTCAGTAAGCCGAGGCATTTCGATTGCGACGGTAATGGTTAATTGTTGTGGACGCTGTATAGTAAAATTAATGTTGAATGATTTTTTGCCTTAACTCTTGGCCAGTATGCCACCTTAAACTGTTATTTTATTTTTTTTAATTGATTTGTCGGTAAGGTTGACTAAAACATTGGAATATCTTTAAAATGGCATAACTCGGTCGAAAAAAATCGTGGAGTGTCGAATTTTGATTTAAAATACTCGTTGAAAAGTGCACTTTGAAAGGAAATCTGTAGTTTTTCGAAAAAAAAATTTTGGTAATCCAGGCATACGTGCAAACTATTGAATTTTTTAAGAAAAAAAAGTTGGTATGCCTGATTAAGACATAGCAATGTGATATTATCTTGCAGACGGTGGATATCATTTGTTTCTCAAAGTACACATAATTTTCTACAAAACAAAAAAAAATGATCTCAATACGATAAAAATTGACCGAGTTACAAGCATTTGAAAAATGGCAATTTTTCGATGAAAAATCTTTGTTGCGATAATTTTGTTGCCGAGTGTATATTCGAGAGCGATTGAGCTCAAAACGGTCGCGGTATGTATGAAAAACTGAAAAAATTTAGGTGTATCATATGTGATACGCTGCCCTAAAAGAGTTAACGTTCATAAACCAGTATATATTAATCAGTGAATTGATATAAGAAAAACACTTTCTCAAATATATTCTACGCTTTACTTAACTTAACTTTTTTTGTCACACACCATATATCATTTGGAATGTTAAAATAATTGATTGAATAGACGTAGTCAAAAATAAATAAATAACCTCTTGTATAAGTGCATGAAAAATTTTTATTTCGCTAAGATAGATAAGTGTTGTGACAACATTAAAATGCATAACATTATCATGCAATTGTATACTAACAGGTGTTTAAATGTCGATTTTGAACGCTCAGATAATATAGAACGTTAGGTATAAGAGGTATGTTCAAAAAGTAAGGTGAATTTTTATTTTTATGAAAAAATATTTATTTATTCATCAATATTTATGTTGTCCCCTTCAAAGTAATCCCCCTCAGATATAATACACTTGTGCCAACGTATTTTTCAATCCTTGAAGCACTTCTGGTAAGCACTTTCTGGTATAGCCTTGAGTTCTTCTAACGATTTTTTCTTTATCTCCTCAATCGTTTCAAACCTCCGTCCTTTTATGGGTTTCTTAAGTTCTGGGAACAGAAAAAAGTCGAAGGGGTCCATATCTGGTGAATATGATGCCTGAGGCATGATTGTGGTTTTATTTTTGGCCAAAAAGTTCGATACAAGCAACGATGAGTGAGCAGGTGCATTATCGTGATACAAAATCCATGAATTATTTTCCCACAATCCTGAACGTTTTTTTCGTATTGCTTCTCGCAAACTTTCTCGCATAATTTTAAGATAATACTCCTCATTGACCGTACGACCTTGTAGTAAGAATTCTTGATGTACTACGCCACGATAATCAAAGAAAACAGCGAGCAAGACCTTGACATTTGATCAAACTTGACGTGCTTTTTTCGGTCTTGGCTCTTCTGGAGTCTTCCATTGGGACGATTAGGCTTTAGCTTTGACGTCATAACTATAAAACCATGATTTGTCACCAGTTATGACTCTTTTGAGCATATCAGGATCATCATTGACGTCGTTTAACAGCTCTTCAGCGATGCTCCTTCTACGGTCCTTTTGTTTAAAATTAAGCAGTTTCGGAACAAATTTTACTGCTACACGTTTCATGCCCAAAACTTTGGAAAAAATTATATGGCACGAGCCAACATTAATACCGACGTCTTCAGCCACTTTTCTAATAGTGATTCAATGATTTTTTAACACCATTTGTTTCACTTCTTCAACACTTTCATCAGTTATTGTGTTATAAGTGCTGGGGCGTCCAGAGCGAAGTTCGTCGTGGGCGTCTTCGCGGACATGTTGAAAGAGCTTATATCATTTCTAAAAATTTTTTTGACTTAAAGAATCTCACCGTATGCCATTGTCAACATTTCAAGTGTTTTGGAGCACTTAATTTAATTTTTTACATAAAATTTTATGCAAACTCTTCGATCGATTGTTTTCGACAGTAGAAAATTGCTGAGCACAAAAAACACGTCTAACGTTTCTGTCTCGCAAAAAAAAGTAAACATACAAACTGGTTAAAACTGTGAGCATATATGAGTGACATGTATACTAACATAATAAAAAAGATATCGATGATCGAATCAAAGTATCTCGCCCAATTCAAAAATTCACTTTACTTTTTGAACACACCTCGTATACTATATAAAAAAGTAAGAGATCGAAGTTACAGAGATACATAAACTCTGAAGATATAATAAAAATAAAGTAATGATGAAAAAAAAATTCATCTCTAAGATTCGAACCGACGATCCGAGCAATTCAAGGCAGAAATCTTAACCTCTCGGCTAACGTGCTTACATCACCGTATAAACGTCAAAAGTTATATTTAAGTTGACGGGGTGGCGGGGGTGATTGAAGGGGTCTGACGCTAGCTAGTATCAGCTATTCCGATGAGCGATCTTTGCGAGTGAAAACGTCCCAGTTCTCGTATATAGAGTTGGGTCTCCTTCTCTCTTACTCTCTGGTTACAGTTAAGTTAATTTTTATATTAATCACATAATGAAAATAATTAATTCAATACATTTATATCGAAATCAGAATCTAATCTAATATAAAAATACACATAACACACATATTTCAAAAATTTGCACCATATTCCTCAAATCATATAGGCCAATGAAATGTCTAAATATCTATTATCAGTCAACCAATTAAAAAGTTCACAGGCTTCACTTTTCAAGATTCTCTTTTTTTAAGAAGGATATGGGGTGTAATGCCATATCAAAGCTATATAAATAGACTAATATCATTATTAATAAGAAAATTCTATATCAAATTAATTTTTCAAAGAACAAGTACAATTTTAGATGACTTTTAATTTGAAGAGTTCAAATATTCGTTTTTTTGTCTTAATCAATGTTTCCTAAATCAGCGGATTTTAATTGTAAATATACTAAGCGTCGAGGCGAGCTCCGAGTACCAAGTAAGAATATAATTTGTACGAAACCACGCGTTTATGCTTCTTCACGTAAAATTAATTGAGTGAAGATGAAATTATTAATAGACTTTAGCATCAAACAATTGTGAATTTTATTTTATAAGAAGGAGGTGTACAAATTAGAGCGTGTGAACTAGTCAATGGTTCTGAACTAACTGGCTGACTGTGCAACAGTCTACGTGATTTTCAAAACTGTAGGAAAAGAATCTATACGAGTTTTGATAAGAAAAATCCATATGATCGTTAAGTTGTAAAACGAGATTTCCGGCTAGCGCGCCAACTGAAAACAACAGGTTTTACCCCTAACGTCCATTCAAAACTCTAGAGCTATGAAAGACCAGGATTCGGAAGCTTGTAAAATTTTTCTGATATGATCAAACACATAAGTAATATCGCAGCGCAGTGCTTGTTTGGTCTTAATAATATATTTTTATTTGGTGTTCGAGTTTATGGATTTCACAATGGACTGGTTTAAGTACAGAGCTTGTTCTAATAGCGAAACGTTATAGACTGAGTAATCTTGTGCAAAATATTTTTAAATGATGAAATGATTAATAAATGTGGACTTAATAGTTATGTTCACAACTCGTACATAATTGTTTGATAACTAATTCTTCCAAACAGTTATCAAATAATAAAAGAATGATAAATTATTTAAACAATTAAGTGAAAGCCACACTTTAATTTGTATTAAAAATAATATTCACAATGTTTTCAATTAAATATTTATTTGATATGGAGGTTCTTACAAGTAAATATTTAATAAAAAATTAATAGTTAATACAGTGATATTTATTATTTATCTATGGGAATGTAAGATGGAAGCGGACCAATAAGAGTCCATTCTGTTCTGTTGTGAAAATTCTCAGTATTTATACTACATTGAGAACTAGTTTCAATAGATTTGTTTATATCAATAAATTCATTGCTATTATTTTTTCTTCCTTTTGACTGAATTATTTGCTCTGCATTAATAGTGGTTTTGACGTTTAATAATTTGAGCAAGTCACCGTTTTTTTCATTCAAATTTTCCCTCAAATTTTCATAATACCGTTTTTTGTATTCAACAATTGGATTTTCTTTTCCTCTCATTTCATTGAGGCATTCAATTTTATTGCTTGTATTTGAATTGACATGATTTTTTGATAGTTCTGTCTTCACAGTAGATCTTTTATGAGGATATGGACAAAATTCAATTTTACTACATTTCCTACTTTTTTCAAATTCTGGGCATGTATAAATATGGCGTTTCTGACACTGAAAACAAAAGTAACTTATTTATAATGGTATATATACATACATATATATATATTTGTATTTATATTTATATTTATATTTATTTATATAAATGTTCAAAAGATCATATGAAATGTGCCGATTATTGACCTCTTCATTGCTGTGTATATTACAATACTTATTCATTACGTTAATAAATATTTCAATGAACAGTATGTAGATATTTGTAATGATGTCCTGAATTATAAGTAGTAATAGCAAGTGTACGAGGTCTGTCCGGAAAGTATCGGGCCTACGTTTATATCTTCGCGCCATAGTGTTCGAGCGACCTCTACCGGACAGAAACGTCAACAGTAAAGCCTCACGAATCTATTGATTACTTACTGACACCTGCTGGACGTATAGTTCATGCGCAGCGTGTCTTTGTTTACAGTGCCTTTTTCGCGTTCGTCGGATTTTGCTATTGTCAAAAATGACTGAAAAACAAGATCAACGAATTTGCATCAAATTTTGCTTTCAACTCGGAAAAACGAGTTCGGAAACTATTGAAATGATGCAAAAGGCCTTCGGAAGCGAGTGTATGAGAAAAACACGAATAAAAGAGTGGTATAAACGGTTCAAGGATGGTCGCACTTCTGTCGATAGTGATTCTCGTTCCGGCCGACCTTCGACGACAAAAACCGCAGATAATATTGAGTGGGTGCGACTTGCAATCGAACAAGATCTTCGTATGACTGTGCGAGAACTAGAAGAAGACCTTAGGATACCAAAAACTATAATTTCAGGAATGTTAACCGAAAATTTAGGAATGAAACGCGTGTGTGCGAAATTCATCCCAAAATTGCTCACAGCAGAGCAGAAAAACATTCGCTTAGAAATCGCTCTGGACAATCTGGAAATGGTCAATAATGATAATAATATGCTTAGAAAAGTTATTACAGGTGATGAATCATGGGTTTATGGTTATGGTCCTGAAACAAAACAACAATCTTCACAGTGGAAGCATTCTGAATCGCCAAGACCAAAAAAGCATGTCAAAGTCGGAGCAATGTTAAGTCAATGTTGATTATTTTTTTCGATTGTGAAGGTGTTGTACATCGCACATATGCACCAACAGGTCAGACAATCAATAAAGAATACTACGTTCAAATTTTGAAACGTTTGCGTGATGCAGGAAGAAGAAAACGGTCGCACTTTTGGGAAAGTGGTGACTGGTTTCTCCATTACGATAATGCGCCAGCGCATTCATCCAATCTTGTGGAGCAGTTTTTGAGCAAACACAACATCGAATTGCTGCGACAACCTACATACAGTCCCGACATAGCCCCTTGTGACTTTTGGCTGTTTCCAAAACTAAAAACCACTCAAAGGACACCGATTGAATGACAAAACAACGGTTGAAAACAATGCGACGTGTGTACTTAAGGCTATCCCTAAAAGTGAGTTCCAGGACTGTTATGAAAAGTAGAAACATCGATGGAACCGTGTTATTCAATCAAGTGGGGATTACTTTGAAGGATGCCACCCACCAGATGATAAAGAATAACGCTAGTACGAAAATATAAAGGTAGGCCCGATACTTTCCGGACAGACCTCGTATGCTTATAACACGACGCGTCTGCAATATCTTTGGACTCAGATTTACAAAGTATCGGATTACCTATTATTAACACAATAGAGCCAGTGAATCAGACTAGCACATGGTAGTCCTTAGTATACGAGAGAATATTCTGACATATATAAACACTGAACCCGAACGGATAAATAAGGGACTGAAGGATCAGCGACATCTCGAAGACTGTAACCGTGTTATTAACAGTCTTGATAATGCGCTTAGGCATGTATTTCAATAAGACGTGCTTACTGAAAAATGTATAATAAGAGTGGACGAGCTTGATCGCGCACTCTTATTTTAGTTATCGTTCTCACTTGACGTAATTATCTCCGCTATCGCACAAATTTACCGCTAAATAAGAGACATCACACAAGCAATTCTGCAAACCTCTCCTTGTGGTCGGAATAGAGGCAACAAGAAGTTGGTGCTCCGTCCCTCTTTTTTGACCGTTAGAGCGAACGAGCCCAATACTGAAAAACTAACAATTGATCTATCTTAAATAATCTCCATAAATAAGATTCCCGTGGCGTTGTAACAAGGCTATTCATACGTACAACGGAACTGATTCACAGGGTTCTGTCTTAACATCATTTTCACGCGCTGTACTTCGGATCTTCGAATCTTAACCTACTAGGTAGATCACAATGTGGACGGTATAAGACGAGGTGGGATCCAATTTTCCGTGTAGGTATTTGTTAATTAACAATTGTAAATAATAATAATAATAACGGTAACTATATATAATATATCTATCTAATATGAGTAATATCAGGTTGGATAAAAACTAACTCAGGTATGGAGCTGCTTGTGAAATTGGTAGATGAAAGAAGTTAGTTATATAAAAACTGTTAGAAAGCGAGAATATGTAAGTATATATGCGTGCAATTATAAGAGTGAGGATAGATGTGGATGTAGGTATGGATAGTCTCTATCTCTGATGCATGAAATGCATCTCTGCTTTTTGTGCAAACGTTCATATTAGCACTCCCACCGCTCCTCTAATACAAAGCAAAATTAGACCAAAGATAACGGCTATACAGAGAGAACAGAGCAAGAAAAATATTACAGAGAGAGAGAGAGAGAGAGCAATATATACAGGAGTCAAGCCATATGATCTGCTTCGCTCCATTCATATACTTGACTAGTGGGGAGAGTATATGTGTGCGTACGTGGGTTAATACGCTCACTCTATCTTCCTGCCTGGCTCCTTCATCTCGCTAGCTACAACGTATTAACCCTTTGTTGCACATATTTTTCTGTTCAGTGGTTTTACTTGAAAATTCCTACTCGGGGGTTTTTGGGGTCGCTGATCACGAATCTGAAGTCGAAATGCAGAAATTATTGATTCAAAATGACGGATTCAAGATGGCGGCTCGGGAATTTTCGAGAAATTAGATGTACAAACTTAAAAATAACTACCCAAGGGTATTTGCGGTTGCTGATTACGAATCTGTTAATTTTTTTTATAGTTTATCATTGTAGATCTAATATGACGAATACTACGACATAAACAGTGGTTAAAATATTGGGGACTTTCGAAAATTTACTCTTTTTTTGCGTAACCCAGAGCTAACGACGAGGACGTAAAAGAGTACTAGCTCCATTTTTTTTTGTTTTTTGTTTTTTTTTTGTTTTTTTATTCTTTTTTTAGTATTTTAGTAGTAATTTAGTCATTTTTTTAGTATTTTATTCAGTTTTTAGAATTATTTAAACTATTTTTTATGTATTTTCTTTTGATTTTGCCCATGAAGTTATGAAAAAGTAAGCATTATTCTTTACCTAATACTTGAAATGAACTTTTTATACACGTAAATATACTCCAAAAGTTTCATTGCTTCGAACGACTTTTCACAATAACGTGTTCTACGCATTTTGATGATGTCAACAGTAAAGGAGCATTTGCGCATATTCTCATGTTAACAAAAAATTTTGGCATCTTCATAATACCAAGCTTGGGGTCGATCGCTCTGTACTTGCGCACGTCACTGGCGTTAACATCGCTACTTCTTTCTAGCTTATACATGTTTTATCACTTAACATTTTAATTTTAAAGAAAGGTACATATTAGTGGAAAACTCTGAACTACTGTGATAAATATATTGCTTTATTATAAGCATAAGATATAGACTGAATAACTTCGCTAACTTTACTTTGATACAAACAGGATGTCTACAGATTTTCCAGAAAAATACTCAAAAGAAAAGAATGTACTTGCTGATTTATAAATTGAAACATACGAAGACAAATAAAAATACGGAAAATTAGCAAATAGCAAAAGATTACACGTTTTTGTTGAACAGTAGTGTGTGTGTGTGTGTGTGTGTGTGTGTGTGTGTGTGTGCACGCGAAAGTGGCTTAAACAAAAGGTCATTTTTTTAAAAAGGGTTACCTAACTGATTTTTATTGAAGCAAAACATACTTTCTTTCATAATACTGAAATCATCTGAGAAAGAAATTCTCAAGTAATTTTTATTTTGATAAAATAATCGTTAAAACTCGCCGTTCCAAGGAAGTGTATTTATGCTTAGTGTAGAAAGCAAGACACCTTAACCGGAGTGTATGATACGTGATATGTGAGGTAATATTTTTTAAGGAAATGACAGGGATGTGACCTATTATGAATCTGACACAGGCATCCTGTGTTAACTGCAAGTCGGATAATCTTGTTTTATCGAGGTCTTAGTAAACTATTCAGCATTACTGAAAATGTGGAGAAACCAGTGCTTCTACAAGTTGTGTTCTCAAAGTAAATCATAATGATGTTTATAAAACATTAAAGAATGTAGCAAAAACATTTCTAACTATCGTGAGAAATCGGAGCTTTTAATCAAGAGTAGTTTAAATAGTAACACCGAGATTGGTAGCTGTTGTTGAATAGGTAATGCCAGTATTATTTAATATAATGCGAGGGAGCGATTATAGATTAATCTACACAACGTACAGTTGATTGTCGATAATAATTACCTTTGTTTTCAATGGATTCAAGTTTAATCCATTTTGGGAAGTCCCTTGGGTAACCGCATTTACTTCGAATTAAGCTTGACTGATAGCATTATGGAGATCTATACCTACATTCGTGTAGCATCTGCACAAATGAGATAATTAGCAAAGCGCAGTCTATTTGTTAGATAATTTATGTAAATAACGAACAGCAGTGGTTCAAGAACACTGCCCTGAGGAAAACCATGGATGTATGGAGCTATACAGAAATTAAACCACTATCCTTAGAACTCGCCTGCAGCCTACTCGCTAAGTAAGAAAAAAACTATTGTAAAGTAATATTACAAAAATTCAATAAGGTAAGTTTATATATTATTATATCATGTAAAATAGAGTCAAATCGTTTAGAAAAGTGAAACAAAATAAAGAATGTAAGTTTCCTATCGTCTAAAGTATTTTTAACATG